CTTTTCATTTTCTTATTAGGTATACCAAGTCTCAGAACACGGACAAAAATCGAATATATACGGCAAAAAAGCTATAACTGATTTTTCTTCACATTTACGATTGCTATGGGATTCTCTTGTTTTTTCTCTATTTTGAATCTTTATCTTCATGAGTTTATGATCTGATGGAAACCTTTTTTTAACTTTAAATGTGATTGGGTTATTGTCAGCAAAATATGTTCGGGCTTTAAAAGCATATGACTTTCCTGTCTTAGGTCTTCTAAAATACTTTGTCTGTTTCAATAGGCAATTAATTTCAACCTAACCTATGGCCATAAATAAGCCGTAATGCCTTAACTAATCCCAGATAGTTGGCGTGGGAGGGAAATAGATGAGTCTTGACATTATCGATAATGGAACAATAACAAGCCTCCAGGTCCCTACTTTCACATACTATGATCAGACTCGAGTCGTCATGCTTAAAATAACGGTTAACTAAAACGTAGCGCAACAATTAGTCTTAGTAAGGTATATTATTGTTAATAAGTTTATTAGTGATACAAAAATGATTGCATCCTACTCCAGTAGAAAAATGTATCCATTTGGCGGAAGCCTTTAACTTCATTTATGGGCATGCAACTTTTGTTTCGAGTACTCCACGCTTTAATCCATGCTATCAACTTTATTTATTTTTTCTTATTATCTCTCATCCTATTTGCGCTTCTCTCAGCTTCCGTCTCTATGATGAGCGCAAACTACTTCCGGCTCGCTTGTTATTTCAAGTGCAACGCCATCTGGCTGCCACACGCCGCCAGCAGCCTGTTTCATCAGTCGGCCAGTCATTTCAGCTGCAACCCAACCAACCCTTACAACAACAACAGCAATATTTATCTGATCAACATACAGTTCACTTTTCGACAAATTCCCTACAACCGTCTGGGCGACCTGCTAACCCAATAAGCATTGCTTCATCCACGAATCCTACTTCTATGCTGACCGATGTGAGGGATGGTCCCGCAAAGATCGCCTCACCTCGGACTCGAGAGTCGTTGGCCAACCCAGGAACATGGCTATATGGCCACTATTCTTGGCACCCAAACTTTGCTAAAAACAAGACAGTGCATCATAATAACGCTACTTCTTCCAGGTAGCATTATCATCCTCATTCTTGAAAATATGAAATTTTATTGTAATCTTTATCCTAG